TTCACACAAAGCAGCCCTTCCCACTCCAGGGTGTTTGGGGCCGGGTGCCCAATCTGGACCTACAGTGACCAAGGAGGGTCTGTATGCGGACACCAAGATGTCCTGTGGCTGCAACTGGGCCTCCTGGGGACAACTTGCCTGTGGGGTCCTCCCAGGCCTGGCCCTGGACCTTAGAAGACTTCTTGGTCACCTCCTACCCAGCCTTCAGATGGATCAGAGGGTCAACCATTTGTGGCTGAGCTGAACACTGCTCACAGGCTTGTGGAAAGCAGACCAGAGTGGCTACTGGATTCCTGAGTGCAGGAACCACTAGTGAGCGTCTCACTGCTTTGGTGGGTGGATTAGATCGGGGTGGAGCCTGGGCCTCTCTGTGGGAGGACAGGCTACTGCGGACCAGGGAGCCTCTCCTCTTGGGTGCAGAATGAGGGGAGAGCCACCTGTCAGAGAGTGGAGGGGGTTGGGAGCAACCAGAGTTCTCCTGGCTTTTGGCCACAGATAACCCAGGTGTGGGTGGTCCTTAAGTTCCTGCTGTTGCTAAACTGACCCAGAGCTTTTTTTTCTTTCTTCCTTTTTTTTTTTTGTCTCACTCTGGCACTCAGGTTGGAGTGCAGTGGCACAATCACAGTTCGCTGCAGCCTCAACCTCCTGGGCTCATGCAATCCTCTTACCTCAGCCTTCTGAGTGGTTGGGGCTATAGGTGTATAGCACCGCACCCAGATAATTTTTTTATTTTTTATTTTTTTTAGAGACGGGATCTTGCTATGTTGCCCAGACTGGATTCAAATTCCTGCACTCAGGCAATCCTTCCGTCTCAGCCTCCCAAAGTGCTGGGATTACAGGTGTGAGCCATCACACCCAGCTAGGCCCCAAAGCTTCTGCATGGCTTGTTGAGGGCCCAACAGAGACATCTGCAGCTCCTAGAAAGAAAGCAGGGCCAGACCAGAGGCCACAGTGGAAACCAGCAGAGGGGCCAGGGGAAGATGGGTGTGCCTGGCATGCCATCTGTATGGTGCCATATGTGCGGTGTAGACTGTTCCAAGAGCCCCAGGGCCCAAGGACTGCCCTCAGCTCTGAGCAGTTTAAACCCTTGAGTCTGCTTCCCAGCCAGAGGCCCAGGCCCAAGGATGAAGCCCAGTGGGAAGGAAGTGGGTGGGGAATGGGGCCTCCAGTGTCCTGTGGGCTCCACCCCAGAGGCCTTGGGTTGTCCACGTCTGAACGAGAGGTCTACACTGTGGTCCTCACCCAGCCCTCTTACAGCAGTGTCAGCTTATGTGTATGTCAATGGGGGGGGGTGAGCAGAACTGACCCCCTTCCTGTAGCTCTGCTGGACCCTAAAGAGAGTAGGCTGGCAGGGTGCAGTGGTTCACACCTGTAATCCCAGCACTATGGGAGGCTGAGGTGGGAGGAGTTTGAGACTGTGGTGAGCTATGATTGTGCCACTGCACTCTAGCCTGGGTGACAGGGCGAGACCTCGACTCAAAAATAAATAGGGCAAGCTCCTCAGGTCCCCTCCCACTGTGGGAGCTTTTCTGTCGTCTTAATAAATCCCACTTTAAATAAATAAATAAAGAGAGTGGGCACAGCTTTCTCCTTTCTCCCCAGCCCAGCCTGCAGGACCCCTCCCCTCCTAAGGCAGAATGGGGCCGGTGCCTGTAGCTCATGCCCTGAGACTCCAGCTTCAGCCAGCTCAGCACCCAGCTCTTAGTGGCTTGGACTGGCCACAACTTGGCCTGGCCTGTGCCCCAGCCATGGCCTTGACTGTCCTTGGACCCCTAGGAGGCATGGCTGGGAACATGGCACATCAGAGACTCGTGTCTCTCAACAGGCTTCCTCCCCTTCACTCTATCCCCACCCTCTAGGACTGGGCCAGGAAAGAAGGCAGGAGGCAGCCAGGTGAGGCAGGGTAATGAGATGGCCATTGCCAAGGTCAGCAGAGGCAAAGACCAACACAGAGACAAGGACTGAGAGGGACAGTGAAAGGCCAGTGGTCTGAGACAGACTTGGAGCCAGGACAAAGAGAAGAGGCCCTGGGTGGGGTGTGATCAGAAACTCAGCTGGGCACAGTGGCTCACACCTGTAATCCCAGCACACTGGGAGGCTAAGGCGGAAGGTTTGCTTGAGCCCAGGAGTTCGAGACCAGCCTAGATAACATAGCAAGATCTCATCTCTACCCAAATAAATAAATAAATAATTATCTGGGTGTGGAGGTATGAGCCTGTAGTCCCAGCTACTCGGGAGGCTGAGGCGGGAGGATCACCTGAACCTGGGAAGTCAAGGCTGTGGGGAGCTATGAATCTTGCCACGGCACTCCAGCCTAGGCAAAAAGCTTCCGAATAGCTAGGGTTACAGGTCTGCACTGCTGTGCCCGGCTAGTTTTCTTTTCCTTCTTTTTTTTGTAGAGAAGGGGTCTCACTATGTTGCCCAGGCTGGTCTCAAACTCCTGACCCGAAGTGATTCTTCCACCTCAGCCTCCCAAAGTGCTGGGATTACAGGCATGAGCTATCGTGCCTAGCCCCCAAGGATACTTATTTATTATTATTTTTTGAGTTGGAATCTCACTCTGTCGCCCAGGCTGGAGCGTGTGGCATGCTCACAGTCACCCCAGCATCCACCTGCTGGACTCAGGCGATCCTTCTGCCTCAGCCTTCCATATAGCCAGAACTACAGGCTCGTGCTCCCACGCCCGGCTAAGTTTTTTATTTGTTATAGAGATGAGGTCTTGCCAAGTTGCCCAGGCTGTTCTCGAACCCGTGGGCTCAGGACATCCCCTCACCTCGGCCTCCCAAAGTGCTGGGATTATAGGCTTGAGCCATTGTGCCCAGCCAAGGATACTTTTTGAAGGTCAAAGAGAGTAGCAGGGATGGATGTGGGAGTAAGGCGTGGAAGAGGGGTTTTTGGAGGGAAGAGGTGGCTCTGGGTTCCTCTAGAGGGGACAGGTTTTGGTGGCAACATTTTTCCTCTGCAGTTTTGTTCACCTTCACTTCCTGCCCTTTCAACACCAAGACGGGTGGGTAAGGCAAGGCCTGAGGGGGCAGGGATCTCTTGGGGTTCTCTCTGGCCTCCGGCCTCCGGGAGATGGAGACTGCATCCTACCCCCAGCACAGGACCTTCTCCAAAGCCCCTTCCCTCAGGGCCTCGCCACCACGGAGCCCAGCAGTCGGTAAAGCCAATGAGGTCCCTATTAGTCCTGAGATCAGTAAACACCCCCATCCAGCCTCAGGTCAGGTGTTCGGGACAGCCTTGGCCCTCATAGTTGAGTCACCTCTCAAGACACTGCACATGGCTGGGATCTACCACCGCCTCCCAAGGTCACTGACCAAGCCCCCAGAGAGAAAACTCTCCCTCCAGGGCAAGGGTGGGATCAGTCATCTCAGGGATGGTTCTGGAACCTTCTGGAACCTCATGCCTGGGTCACTGGGCTCAATGGCCCAAGGCCGTGGCCACAGATAGGAGGATGGTCTTTTTTTTTGGAATTGGAGTCTCACTCTGTTGCCCAGGCTGGAGTGCAGTGGCACACTCTCAGTCACTGCAACCTTGACCTGCTGGGCTCAGGTGGTCCTTCCTCCTCAGCCTTCCAAGTAGCCAGAACTACAGGCACATGCTACCACACAGCTAATTTTTGATTTATTGTAGAGAGAAGGTCTCAGCAAGTTGTCCGGGCTGGTCTCAAACCCCCGGGCTCAGGCAATCCTCTCCCCTCGGCCTCCTAAAGTGCTGGGATTACAGACTGAGCCACTGCACCTGACCAGGGAGATGGTCTTAATGACTTCTCAAGGACAAGGTCAAATCTTTGCTCCCCATGATCCAAAGCAACCAGTGTTTGCCCCTCAACAGAGCCCCACAATAGGCTGGGCCTGCAGCCTCAGCACTGGATTGTGTATCCGCCCCATCTGTGACCTTTGTGCCCGGCTTGGGGTCTCTGCCCACTGGGCTCACATGAGAGGCCAAGTCCCTTAGGGCTCGGCTGAGGGCCACTCTTGCAAATAGGTCATGGAGGAGGCAAGGGGCTGTCTCAAGACTGGCTGGGGTTGGGTACAGTGGCTCATACCTGTAACCCCAGCACTTTGGGAGGCTGGGGTGGGAGGACTGTTTGAGCCCAGGAGTTCAAGACCAGCATGGGCAGCATAGTGAGACCTTGTCTGTATGAAAAATAAAAAAATTATCCACATAGGGGCATGCATCTGTCCCAGCTACTCGGGAGGCTGAGGAGGGAGGATAGATAGCCTAAGCCCAGGAGGTAGAGGCTGCAGTGAGTTGTGATTGTGCCACTGCACTCCAGCCTGGGTGAGAGTGAGACTCTGACTCAAAAAAAAAAGAAAAAAGAAAAAAAGAACTGCTGGGACACTCCCAGGTCAGCCCCTCAGGCATCTCACCCTGTGCCGGGGCCCCATGGACTCCTGGGAGGGCCAAGATCAGGGATCCGTGAGCTGAGAGCAGACACCTTGTTCTTTCTTGTCCACTCTGTCACCCCACCCTTCCTTGACCCTTATAAGAACCAGGAAACAGTATGTGATCTGTGGGAGACAGGTATTCGGTGCTTTCACTGGGTGTGGGGATGGGGTGTCACCTCACATAACCCACCCTGGGCGCAGGATAAGCAGGGACCCTGGGATCAGAGAGGACAGCGTTTCTGAGTCAGGCACCACTGGCCCATATGCAGGGCCAGCTAGAGGAAGGCAGGGGGCACAGAGGGAGCCCCTGTCCCTGCCAGAGTTTCGAGCTCTGGGTACGTCCCTCCGCCCTCCTTGCTCCAGGCCTTCCGGTCCCTCCAACTTGCACAATCCCGACCAGGGGGAGAGAGGGGCCGAGTTCTTGCCAAGTGTTTCCGCAGGAGTTGCTGGCAATTGCCTCACCTTCCTGGATTTGGCAAAGGACGCATCACCCCACCCCGGGGGTGGAACAGCACAAATAGGGTCCGCTAGGCTGGCTTCTCACTCGCCTCCTCCGGCAACTGCCAGGCCCTTCGGCTGCTGCAGTGCCTGAGTCCCAGCCCTGACACCATGGCCCTGGGGCTCCTGTGGCTGGGCCTCACCCTGCTGGGGGTCCTGGAGATACAGGCCCAGGACTCCACCCCAGACCTGATCGCAGCCCCACATCTGCGCAAGGTCCCTCTGCAGCCAAACTTCCAGGAAGACCAGGTAAAGGTCCCAGGGGGCTCTCCAGGGATGGCCCGAGGAAGAGCAGGAGCAGAGGGGAGGAGAGGTGGAGAGGAGGGGTCAGGAGTGTTGGGCAGGACAGGCAGGACTCGGGGAGCTGCCCTGCACTCAGGGCCCCTGATGGGAGCCACGTCCCATCCCCCGAGTCCCCCCCATCTCAGAGTTGCCAGAAGAGACCGTCCCAGGTCCACATCTTCTCTCCCATAATCCCCATTGTCCGTGCAAGGTGGGGACATCTTCAGTTCCTCTGCTACAGATGAGGAGGAAACCAAGGTTCAGGAAGCCCACCAGCCACTTGCCAAGGGTCATCATCCCTGTCCCTGCCAGACCCAGGGCTGCCTCCTCCCCCTGGGCCTCCAGCTCCTGCCAGCTTCCTCAGCCCAGGCCTGGACCTGCTGCCCAGTTGCCCAGAAGTGCCAGCAGGAGGGGTGGTTCCTAGGGCCATTCCTGGCCTCTGCCTACCATCAGCTGCCCTGTAGTTCCAGGGGAAGTGGTACGTCGTAGGCCTGGCTGGGAATGCAATTCGCAAAGAAGACCAAGGCCAGCTTACGATGTACGCCACCACCTACGAGCTGAAGGAAGATCATAGCTACAATGTCACCTCAACCCTGCTCAGGTGAGATCCTCTGCCCTGGAGACCTGAGGGGTAAACCGATGTCACAGCCAAGGGGTGACCGAAGCTGAGGGATCTTGTCATTCATCTCACTGTTTTCCAGTGAATTCATCTATTTTTTCATTCCTTCTCCCCTCCCTGGAGCAATGTTTAGGGTCACTTCAGTGTGGACACACAAACAGTAATGGGGAGGGACAAGCAGTTGTTAAAAAACAAGGTGGAGGCTGGTTGTGGTGGCTCATGCCTATAATCCCAGCGCTTTGGGAGGCCAAGGTGGGAGGATCACTTGAGCCCAGGAGCTCAAGATCAGCCTGGGCAACATAACAAGACCTCATCGCTACAAAAAATTTAAAAATTGCCGGGCTCAGTGGCTCAGCCTGTAATCCCACGCTTTGGGAGGCTGAAGTGAGTGGATTGCCTGAGCCCACAGGTTCGAGACCTGCCCGGACAACTTGGCAAGACCTTATCTCTACAATAAATAAAAAATTAGCTGGGTGTGGTAGTGCGTGCCTGTAGTTCCAGCTACTTGGAAGGCTGAGGCGGAAGGATCGCCGGAGCCCAGCAGGTCGAGGCTGCGGTGGCTGGGAGCGGCCACTGCACTCCAGTCTGAGCGACAGAGTGAGACTCCAACTCAAAATAAATTAATTAAATTAAATTTAAATTTAAAAATTAGCCAGACATCATGGTGCACACCTGTAGTTCCAGCTACTCCTGAGGCTGAGGCAGGAGGACTCCGGAGACTTGAACCCAGAAGGTCGAGGCTGCAGTGAGCCGTGATTGTGCCACTGCAACAGAGTGAGACTCCAACTCAAAAAAAACAAAGCAGGATGGAGAGAGTAGGGGTGTCCTAGAGTGATCAGGGAAGGACACTGGGTCTAGCCTAGAACCCTATCCAGGACTTTCACTGGAGGCTTCCAGGGATTTTATTTATTTATTTATTTAGGGTTGGAAAATATATTTTATTTAGAAAGTAAATTAGAGAGAGAGCAGTGCTTCACCTCTCCAAGGTAGGAGAGGGGTCCAAAGCTCAGGAAAATATGGTGGCCATAGCTCAGAGAACACATGGACAGATCATAGCTTAGCAAAACAATGGCCGGGAGGTGACTTTGAAGGAGCCAACGTGCTTCAGAAGGAAATGTGGGGTGGTCCAGCCACCCTGAGCAGGAGCTGCTGAGAGTCCTGAAGGGGCTGGTGGCCACTATGCTGGCATGGTCCTTGGGCACCAGCAGGAGGGATCTGACAGGGAGGGGGTCTGAGTAGGGCCCTTGAGCCGCAGTGGGGGAGAAATGGTGGGGTGCAGCCCGGGAGGCCAGCAAAAGTGAGGCTGAGCAGTCACAGGTAGGGGATGACAGGAGTGGGGTAGATGACGACTCGGAGAGGGGAGCAGCTGGGGACCGGCCTTCAGCAGGTTTCTGACTGTAGCAGCCAGTGAACTGGACTTGGGGCATTTGTGGAACAAGGCCAAAAAAGGCAGGCTGGAAGCTCAGCCCTGGGGTGCCAGGGATGGGGCGGGGCACGCAGGGGTGAGGGCAAATTTGGCCCAGGAGCTAGGGAGGGCTTGGCACAAGCCAGCCGGGGTCACACAGGAGAGGTGCAGAGAGGGTGGCCAGACAGGAGCAGGGGAGAAGTGCTGGGGGCGGGGGAGAGTTGAGTGGGGAAGGCCCCAGGAGGGCCAAAGGGGGAGGAAGGACAGGGGGTGCCAGAGCCAAGGTCTGAGCCAGGTCCAGGGCAGCAGGCCAGGCAGGACGGCCAGGGACAGGTCCAGATCCACTCACCTGGGTAGGAAGGAGTCCCACATAGTGGGGAATGGGCTGTCATTGTTGGGCTGGTTGGTAGACAGCCCTGGCCCCTGCCTCGTCTACTCTGGGGGGGTCCAAGCCTGTGTCCTTTCCCCCTCACCCCCCCATCACCCACAGGAATGGGAGCTGTACCCACTGGATCAGAACTTTTGTCCGAAGTACCCGGCCCGGCCAGTTCGAACTGGGCAGCATCAAACGTGAGTCCCAAGGGAGATGGGGCCGGGGGACTGAGGTGGGGAGACGGTGGGGGGTCAGGGTGTGGGGGTCGGGGTAAGGGTGCTGACAGGGTCCTCCCAGGAGGGCCACAGACCTTCCTGGACCCTCCACATAGATGATATCTGTGGAGAGAAGCCCATGTTGGTGGTTTGGGGAGAAGAGGGATACCGCCCTCCTCCTGGCCCTTGTGGGGTAACCCCTGGCCGGGATGCCCGCAGGTTATCCTGGAGTGCAGAATTACAGAGTTCGAGTGATGGCCACCGACTACAACCAGTACGCCATGGTATTCTTCAAGAAGACTTTCAAAAAGAAAAACTACTTCAAGATCACCCTCTATGGTAGGGCCTTCCCTGCCCCTCAGGGGCCCAGCTCCTGGTGACTCTGCAGGGAAGGGAGACTCATCCCCACCCAGACCCCCAGACCCCCAGGTCCCCGCCAGCTTCAGCTCTGTCCCAAGGCCCCAGGGAGCCAGGGAGTGACGTCATTCCACAGACTCCCCACGAGGAAGGGACCTGAGACCTCGTTCACTCATTGGACAATATGAATGTCCACAGGGAGAACCAAGGAGCTGAGCCTCGAACTGAAGGAGAACTTCACCCGCCTCGCCAAGTCTCTGGGCCTCAGTGATGACCACATCGTCTTCTCTGTCCCAATCGGTAACAGCCGGTCTGAAAGAGGGGGAAGGAACATGGGGACTGTCTAGGCCTGGTGCTGCCCCAACAGGGGAAAGGGGAAAGGAGAGAACCCCGCTTCGGTTATCGGAGGGGTGGGCAGGAGTTCCCCAGGAGCCACTCTGGGCTCAGGAAGACCATATCCATCCCCAGGTCTGCGGGGCTCCCAGGATCCAGGCCCCACATGCTCCTCCCTGGCAGGGTAGTCAGGGCCGGCCTAGGCGAGAACCCAGACCCAGGCGCACATCTCCCCAGCCTCACCACCCTGGGCCCACTCCCGGCCCCCCTTGTCCCGGGCCACATCCTCTGTCTCGGCCATCTCCCCTCCCCTGGGGCTTGCTCACCACTGACCTGGGAGATGTCTTGGCCTCAGGGGGCAGGAGGCTCCAGCCAGGCCCCACGAGAGCCACTGGCCTCCCCAAGGCCAAGGGGATCCGGGGCTCAGCAGGTGCACAGGCAGGAGGCCCCGGGTGCCTGAGCATCCAGGAGTGTTGGGCCTCACTTGCCTCCCCCGAAGAACGGAGTCCCCAGGACAGCCTGTCTCCAGGCCTTTTTCCCACAGCCCCTGCCCATTCCTGAAGGGAACCCCCAGACCTTCTGTGACTGGGCCAGGTCGGCTGGGGAGCTGCCCAGAGGCAGTTCAGGGATCCTGGCAGTCAGGAGTGTGTGTGTGTGTGTGTGTGTGTGTGTGTGTGTGTGTGTGTGTGTGTGTGTGTATCTCTGCCTCTTTCCTTTCTTTCTCTCCTTCTCTCTCTCCTCTTTCTCTTCCCCCTCTCACTCTCTCTCTGTGTCTTTCTCTCTCTGAGTCTCTCTCTCTTCTTCTCTCCCCCTCCTACTCTCTCTCTCCTCTTTCTCTGTGTCTCTCTCCTTCTCTCTCCTCTCTCTATAGTTCTCTCTTCCCCCTCTCATTCTCTCTGTGTGTCTCTTTCTGAGTCTCTCTCTTCTCTCCCCCAACTCTCTCCCTCCTCTTTCTTTCTGTGTCTCCCTTTCTCTCCTTCTCTCTCCTCCCTTTCTCTTCCTCTATCTTTCTCTCTCTCTTCCCCCTCTCACTCTCTGTCTCTCTCTGAGACTCTCTCCCCCCAATCTCTCTTTCTCTCCTTCTCTCTCTCCTCTTTCTCTCTCTCTTCCCCCTCTCACTCTGTGTCTCTTTCACTCCTCTCTCTCTCCCCTCTTTCTCCACCTCTCTCTCTCTCTCTCTCTGTCTGTGTGTGTGTGTGTGTGTGTGTGTGTGTGTGTGTGTGTTTCACACACATACACCTGCCTGTTCTAACAGACTTTCTCCCCCCACAGATCAGTGCATCGATAACTGAGCGCACAGTAAGTGTGGCTGGGAAGTGCTGACGGAAGGCCAGGGTGCAGTGGGTGGGGGGGTCTTGGACTTGCTTTTGCTCCTCCCCTACCCCCAGCTGCTGCCATTTTTACCCCGTGGTCCCCCTCTAAGGCCCCTCCTATCCCTCTACCCAGCTTCCTCATACGTGCCTCTGTCCAGGCTGCCACCAACTACCCACCAGCTCTGAAGCCAGTGAGACAGTGGGAGACATTTTTGCAGTGATGCCCACCCTGCGGCCCCCAGGCCTCCCTGCAATGGACCCCCACCTTGTCTGCTAAATAAACATGTGCCTCCAGGCCTCCAGGTCTTTGCTTATTGACCCCCGGCCATCAGGGAGGGGAAAGGGGAAGAGGGCTCATATCAGCATCACTCCCAGGGCCTGTACTCCCAGTGAGGGATGGGGGCCACACTGCCCATTCCAGATGTCAGGACTGTGGAGCAGAGGCACAAACCCTCTGTCATCGCCAGCAGCCCCCTTGAAGCTGACTGCCCTTCATACACAGAGTAATACCATACATTGCTGGGCACGGTGGTTCACACCTGTAATTCTAGCACTTCAGGAGGCCAAGGCAGGAGGATCACTTGAGGCCAGGAGATCGAGATCAGTCCAGGCAACATAGTGAGATCTCGACTCTACAAAAAATGTTTAAAAATTAGCCAGGCATGATAGCACATGCCTTTAGTCCCAGCTACTTGCAAGGCTGTGGTAGGAAGATTGCTTGAGCCCAGGAGGATTGCTTGAGTCCAGGAGGTTGAAGTTGTTGTGACCTATGATCAATCACATCACTGCACTCCAACCTGGATGAAAAAAAAACCCACACACACTCACTTCTACCGTGACACTGGGCCCGGCCCAGAGTAGTAGTAGCCCTCACATGCCGAGTCCACTGGAGACACTGATGGGGCCACACATCATGCCTACACCTGGCCACCTGCAACAGGTCACACATTAGCAGCCCAGCCAGAACTAGGAACTGGAAGTGCCTCGGGAGGAGGTGTAGGGTGCAGCTACCCTCAACTCACCAGGACTCCAATAGCTGCTGGGAGACCACAGCCAGGGTAGGAGGTGGGACAGAGGCATGGGCAGGCAGGACAGAGGCATGGACAGCTTTTTTTTTTTGAGTTGGAGTCTCACTCTGTTGCCTAGACTGGAATGCAGTGGCACAATCACGGCTTGCTGTAGTCTTGACCTCCTGGGCTGGCAATCCTCCTGCTTCAGTCTCCCAAGTAGCTGGGACTACAGGTGCGCACCATCACACCTGGCTAATTTTTAAAAAATATTTTATTGAAGTCTAATTTTTTTTTTTTTTTTGACTCAGAGCCTCACTCTGTCACCCAGGCTGGAGTGCAGTGGCACGCTCATGGCCACTGCAGCCTCGACCTGCTGGGCTCAGGTGATCCTTCTGCCTCAGCCTTCCAAGTAGGTGGAAGAACAGGCGCACACCACCACACCCAGCTAATTTTTTGATTTATTGTAGAGATGAGGTCTTGCCAAGTTGCCCAGGTGGATCTCGAACCTGTGGGCTCAGACAATCCTCTATAGGCATTAGCCATTGCACTCGGCAGCATTGTGTAGCTTGAGACCGGTTTGGCAGAGGGGTCAGCAGGGTTGGTCTCCTGCCTCTCAGCCAGTGCTCACCCCCTGGGTGGGTGGTTATCTCCCCCCAGAAACCCCCTCTCCAGGCTCTTTTACCCTTGCAAGGTAGAGTGGGTGGGATTCTGGAGAAACCCCACAGACACACACCCCATTCACCCTCGGCTGGGGAAGGGGAGATACTGGAGCTGGGAGCAGTGCCAGCCTTGGCCTCCTAGGGAGCAGGACAGGCCTGAGACCTAGGCCCCGCAGATGCTGCAAACATTTGAAAGTCTATGCCAGACTCCAGGCAGAGACCAGCTTGGTGCGGCCCAGGCTTTGAGAGAGGGACGGGGGCTGTGCCCAAGCCCAGAGAGGCTCCAGGCTGAGAAGGGCACCTGAGGGGCTGCTGGTCAGAGCCCCAGTAGCTGGCAGAGGAGGCGGAAGCTACGCCCAGCATGCCTGGCTATCAGGCTGCACTTGGAGCAGCAGATCCAGTTTCCCACCTTGGTCCAAGCAAGGCAGCTTCCCATCTCCTCTAGGTCTGCTGGCCTTTCAGGATCAGATTCTAGGGCACAAATAGGGCTTTGTGCTTCCTACCTGGGTTGCTGGAGGTAATTTCGTATTGCCACTATAACAAATTACCGCAAACTGAGGGTTTAAACACCACATGTATATTCCCCTATGTGCTGGAAGTCAAAGGTCTGAAATCAGGGCTGGGCATGATGACTCACACCTGTAATCCCAACCCTTTGCGAGGATGAGGAAGGAAGATCGCTTGAGCCCAGGTGTTCAAGACCAGCCTGGGCAACATAGTGAGAACTCGCCTCTACAGGAAAACAACAACAACACAACCTAGCCAGGCGTGGTGGCATGCACCTGTTGTCCCAGCTACTGAGGAGACTGAGGTGGGAGGATCACTTGAGCCCAGGAGGTTGAGGCTGCAGTGAGCCATGATCATGCCACTGTACTCCAGCCTAGGCAGCAGAGTGAGACTGCAGCTCAAAAACAACAAAAAATTGAAGTCAGTTTAACTGGGCTGAGATCAGTCTCTGCAGGGTTGTGTTCTGCCAAGAGGATCTCGAGAAGCACCTACTTTGCCCTTTCTGGCTTCCAGAGCTGCCTCTCTTGTGTTCTTTGGTGTGTGGCCCTTCCCTTCTTCTTCAAAGACAGCATAGCATCAGCAAATCCCTTTCTCTCCCTTTCAACCCAGGAGGGTAGGGCGACCTGCACGAGAGGCTGTTCTCCAAAACTCTTTGGGCACTGGTCAGTGCACTCCTTGCTCCATTCAACCCAGTTCAGGGGGAATGCCATCCATGGGCAAGTGGGTGGTAACCGTCATAACAGGTGAGGACTCGACCTCACCCCCAGCTTCCGCAGGTGAGGCTCTGGGGTGGCTTCTGGGACAGGAGAGGATTCCACCTCACTGTCACTGATCTTCTGGGTAATCCACCTGAGCTTGACCCCTACGCCAAGGATGGAATGCCCACAGTGAGACAGGGACCGGTCTGCTGCAGCCATGGGGCCTGCTGGCCACGACCACTGCGGGAGTCCCAGGAAGTGAGCCCCTCTTGTCTGGGATGTGAGCCTAACTCTCAGCTGGACCCCTGGCCAGGATCATCCTTCTGGATCCAACCCAGGAGCCACAGTTGGTGGCTGGGGGACAGGGCAGGCCACCCTCTCCTAGCTGGTGCGTGGGGTGCGGGATACGGCAGCTGGGCCTATTCTCACGAAGCCTTCCTTCCAGGATGGACAGCCCAGCAGCACTCTCCCCCACACACTTCTGCTCTCCACTGCAGCACCCACGTGAGGGGGCGGAAAACCTTTACTTTGTTGAGAACATGCCACACAGACTGGCGTTTGAGAGCCAGAACTAGGGAAGCCTCCTCCCCTGTCCTGCCCTGCCCCGTTTAAGGAGCTCTCCTCGAGAGGGCTGTTCCCACGTCTCCTGTTCCGAGCTGGGGTCCAGCTGATTCGCACCCACAGAGTGTAGCCACTGAGCCCCAAGAGAAGCGCTGGAGACCAGGAAGTCCCAGGGCAGGGGGCGGGGAGGGGATGGGTCCTCTCTGCTGGGGCTGGGGGAGGTGAGGAGGAGGCAGAAACTTCGTGACTCTCGAGGGAACAGCGAATAGGAATTTCCCGAAGCCAGAGGAAGCCTCGGAAACCGCGTGCCCGACTTCGCCCACGCAGAAGAGCTGGAGGGTCCCGGGTTGTCCCGCCCCTCTGCGGGGACCCCTACCGCCTGGGAGTCTACCGGAACGGACACGCCCATCGGTCGGGAGAGGAGCGTGGCCCCAGGCAGGCGAGGAGTGGGCGGAGCTCGACATTAGAGCGGAAGTGGGCGGGACTATAGTGGTGAGGGCGGGGCGGGGATCGGGGCGGGGC